TTGTGCAGCCTGGGCAGCCAGGCCCTGCTGGAGGTGGGAAGCTTGAGGGGAGCTGGAGCCTCGTCGGGATCAGCAGATACAACCCTCATGGTTCTCAAATTAAAAAGCACCTGCAGCCCCTGAGCAGCCCCTCCTGGGGAGAGGGTGCTGTGCACTCCCCAGAGTTCCATCCACCCTTGTGCCCAGTGCAGGCCCAGTCCCCTTTGAGCCCCAGCCCCCCGGCCTGTTCCAAGGGCCAAGCGGATGGGGCAGGAGTGCACACAAGGGACTCGCACACAGCTCCCCTGCTCGAAGGAGGGAAGGACCGGCGGGAAGCCATCAGCAGACATCTGCCGATGCTCCCAAACCTCCAGCGCCTCACACTGACCCGCAGAGCCCTGCCGCGCGTGCAGTCGGTGTCCAGAGGGGATCGCTCTGATGTCACGGAGCCAGATACGAGACTGGGAGGAGGATGGCCACGGCTGTTCATTCCTAACTCAATCACAGTCATCTCCGGGGTTGATAAGATTTTGCTTACTTTGGTGAAAATATGTTCAGAAAAAGACCCGAGGTAAATATCTAAAATTAACACCTACGTTCAAGCAAGAAAGACAGTGTCTACAAGTTCAAAGAGGGACGTGGCCAAGTCACCCCGTCTCCCCACCAGACCAAGCCTGTCCTGAAGGTGGGGGGGCCCGCATGTGCACGTGCTGCTTGGAGGCCAGAGCACGAGGCCGCGGACGGCAGCGACACTGTGAGACCACTGGGTGATCGGGTTGTCGGAGGGCTCAAGGGTAGGTTCATGGATCTGCTCGTATACAAGGTACCACATTACTGTTAAAAACTGTAAGGAACCCAGACCCGTGACTCGACAAGACAGAAGAGCCATGATGTGTCAATTATGTGGGAAGGTAAGTAGGGCTCAGGAGGCGGGGGGCGATCCAGGGCCAGCAGCACCGATGTCCCCAGAGGAATGCAGACTGAGGGGGACAGAGCTCAGTGTGAAGGAAGGTAGGAGTCCTGAGGAGCAACGGACACACCCGAGGTGCAGCCAAGGCCAGGACCGCTGGAGGGGAACGCACAGCCTTACCCCCAGCCCAGGTAGCAAGTATACACCTGCGCTCACCTCAACCTTGTGGGGCTTTCATCCTCTCAATAAACCTCACAGATGACTAGAACATTCCGAGTGAAGACGCTTATGTCCATGCAACTTGGTTTCTTCTTACAGGACAGCACATTTAAAAAAAATACATATCCACCTGGTCTGCCTGGAGTAAATTACTTGTCTGTCTTGAGGTCCACTGCTTCGATTGTTACATTAAATGGGTTGAATGAGATAATCTCTGGGATTCTTTAGCTGTAAGATTCCATAATTGCATTAAAGCCCATCCATTGAGCAAGGCATTTTCAAAAGCTTGTCTTCTCCATGAAATGTACTCAGTAAGTTGAAGAAATCCCAGAAACGGCACTAAGTCTCTCCATTTTTCTGAGAATTGTTTTTTTTTTCCTTTTCCTTTAATTCATAAAATGAGGGGGGTGGGCTACAGGGCACAGACGGTCCCTTCTAGCTCCAGAGATGCATGATCTATAGCATTCAAATCAACCCATTTTCCCGAAACTCCTGTTCAGTTCTGATCAATATTGCCAACAATACTGACTTTCTGTTCTCTAGTATGAGAGCATATTTAGAGAGGTTTCTTGTTCAGAAACCTCTTACTCCTTTCACATTCTATAAATGAATTTTACATAATTCAAAGACCATATGTTACCAAACCTCTTCTGTGGTAAAATTTTGTGATCAACTTTTATATCTTATTGGATAGAAATAAAATAATATGATAAAATGATTCAAGAAAGTAGTTGAAACTCTCAATTTTACATTGAGAGGGAAAATTGAGTAATACATTCCTTTTTTTTTTAAAGATTTTATTTATTTATTTGAGAGAGAGCGCAAGAGAACACAAGCAGGGGGAGCAGCAGAGGGAGACGGAGAAGCAGACTCCCCACTGAGCAGGGAGCCCGATGTGGGGCTCCATCCCAGGACCCTGGGATCATGACCTGAGCTGAAGGCAGATGCCTAACTGACTGAACCACCCAGGTGCTCAATACATTCTTAACTAAAACACAATTTTACATTTTACTCATTGATGTATAATGATTCACATAATGGGAGTAATTCTCTTCTTGCTAAATGAATCACCAAGAGATTATTTCATTTATATTTATATTGAATTTTGATTAATAAAAGTGCAGTGGTCAAACTGAAATTAATTCTCTTTTCTAGTTATTTATCTGGTTTTGTTGTTGTTGTTTGCTTCATTTAGTTTGTTTTTGGGAAAAATGTAATGATACCATCAGAGAACCAATGGAACCTCATATGGTAAAACTCTACTAATTTAATAGATAAACACTTCTTGAGTACCTACTATGTGTAAATGTTTATAGACAAGAGTACTACATTTTCCTCTGCAGGAAAGGTTCCTCCTAATGAACTCCTTCACCGAACTCTCCAAAGCATACTAACTACAGGTGTACAATACACACTCATTATACATGGCAATCATAGTCTATGTATTTAGTAGCAGAAGTAATATTCTATTATTTTAGCACAACTCACGGGGAAAAAAATAGAGGGACTTTTAATTGATAAAGAAACATCGGAGCAAGAGAAATACATTCCCAGTCTGGCCTCTTCCATGAAAGAGCATGAATAAATAAGGACAAACAGCTGATTTTTAAAAAGAATACAGAATAATAAACAAATCACAAATTATTTGTGCTTTATTAAATAAATGTGCCTACTTCTATCATAGAAGATCATTAGTAAAAGTATCTTTTAAAAATAAAAATTAGGGACGCCTGGGTGGCTCAGTCAGTTAAGCCTCCGACTTTTGATTTTGGCTCAGGTCATGGTCTCAGGAACCTGGGATGGAACCCGCATGGAGCCTGCTTGAGATTCTCTCTCCCTCTCTTTTAAAATAAAAAAATTAAAAATTAAAGAAATAAAAAATTAAAATTAAATACAAATGAAGCTCGTTTTACATTTGAAACCTCATGAACAACAGTGGTTGTTATGCAAACCTTATGGTTGTTTGCTATTTCATTGTTAGACTTAATTAATGAAATACTATTTTAATATTGTAAAATACCAATTTCGTCTTTTTTCAGACCCTCAGAAAGACTTTGTATCTAGACAACTGACAGAATCCAGTAATTTCATGCCCCATGTCCATAAGTCAATTGAACGTCATCTTTTTGTGTTCTGCTCATTTAGGCTGACTTAAATCAAATTACAGTATAGGGCGGCTTAGGTAAACTGGCATTTCCTGAAACATCATTTTCAGCCCCACCAAACATCGACAGCCTGGCCCGCTGCTGTCGGCCTGAAAAGAGCCCGTGATGAGTGAAACCCAGAGATGTGCTTGCTCCATGAGCTCACGAGGAACTTAACTCTGTCCAAATCTGAAATCATGTCCTCTAACAACTCAAATTGCTTTTATAGAGAAATGCACATTACCAGTGACATTATTCAGAATAATTTTGCATGCGTTCTTCAAGTTAAGCTCGGGGAATGCCACATTGCTTCTCCCATGAGAAGCTTCCATGATCCACGGAAAACATACAACGTTTTGTTCATTCCCCATGCACTAATCACATGCCACAGGGCAAACCTAATGAGATCATTTTTGGAATTAGGGTGACAAGATTGAACAAAACTAACTGCCCATTTCTACAGTTCCTAAGAGAAGGATGCATGTTGATATCTTTATACAATGGGAAAAACTTTTCCCAATCACTTCCGAGAAAAAAAAATTCGAATTCTAGAAATATGATTTAGATTCCCCTGCCATTTGTACACATGTATCTGATAGTCAACTTTGATTTTTCTTCCCCCTCTCATCTCAGCCCTGCAGGAGCTGTAGCTGGAAGGGGTGCAGGTCACGTCCTGGGCAGTGACAATGTAGCTGAGCGTTAAGATGTGGGGCCGGAGGTAGTGAGGCAGTGAAAGGGAACGTCACGAGCAGAAGTCGCACAAGAAGAACGCATCGGACATGTTCCACGCCAACCCTCCGATTGTGCTTCTGCGGCTCATTCTTCATGTTGCCTTCTGGGTGGGGAGTCAGTGACTGTTCCCACCATAGAGAGTCTCTCCTGGGACTTCCAGGTGGCTGCAAAGTAGCAAGACTCGGGGCTTCCCATCAGGAATCCTCGGAGTGCGTGTAAGGGTGCAGTAGGGGGAAAGAATCAAACTATTCTTAGTATCCTGAACTTTGAGAAACCTTTTGAATTTTTTTTTCTGTAAATGGGCATTAAAACACTCTTGAAAGGAAAACATGTAACCACATTTAGCCAAGCTGTGGTTCTAAGGCTGCTTTTGTGAATGCTAATGGCTTTTACCTGAGGCCCATCACAGAACATTCCCGTTATTACGGAGTCTGTGGTCCCTTGGCAGCTGGATACTTTAAACCTGGAAGGACACTTTCTTTCAGTAAGTATTTATACCAAAAAAAAAAAAAATTTTAAAAAGCCAGAGGAAACACACACAATCCACTAAGCGCAAAGATCACAGAAGGAATCCACTTTCACGAAACCAGCAAAAGTTGAGAACCAGACAGGAGGCAACCCGTCACCTCTCTAAACGTCAAAACAGCTTTAAAACGTAAAAGTCTGCCAAACACTCCTTTGTAGCAAATCAATCCACATAGTTTTGAGAATTTTGAAGTAAATTAGCCAAGTGTTCGGACATCTCTGAAATTAGGTCAAAAACAAACACTTATTATCAAATACTTCTATTTTTATACCTGAAGCTATCATTTGCTTGACATTTTCAGAGAACAGAACATTTAATAAAAACACTAAAATCTGAACTACATTTTGGTGGTCAAGTCACAAGAATTATTTGCATGACTCATTGAAAACTGCCGAAAAAGATGGACTACGTGCTTAACTTCCAGAAAACAAAAGCACTTCCTACGTCTATTAAAGCACTCCTCACAAAGTGACATTGGGCCCCCTTTTACCTGAATTCTTATTGGTTTTGTTCTGCCGACTTTTAACTTGTTCAGTCCAAAGCGTGGGGTAACGTGATGCGATATCTAATAAACCAAAACAAAATGATAATTATTTTTAATGCATCATGAAAACAGTCTCTCAATTAAAGATCTCAGTAGGTAACCTAAAAGCCAAAAAGTCAGTGTGTTCAATAAATACATATCATACATGTTTAAAGAAACCCTTAAAATGATTATGTATGTGAGACAAAAGGAAAGAATAATAGACGTTTTTAAAAGTTGAGCATTTTTTTTCCCCTTTCTTCATCCAGAAGTGTAAATAAAAGTTATATGGGTCCAGACTGGCTCCACTTAAAAGAAGTGGGTTTCAGAGAAAAGCCCTGACAGAAACAGACCCTCATGCGGTAAAGATGGGTATTCATGCAACACACGAGGTTTTGCTCAGGGAAGATTCAGTACAAACTACAACGTGGAAGATATAATTCTGCATAAAACATTTCAGGAACACATCCTTTCCTGCAATACCATTACACAAACCGCTGAGGGTTAGCCATGTGCATCAGTCACACACACTCAAGGCCTGAGAACCTGTGGCAGAGCCCTGCTCTGTGGCTCTCAGCCCTTGACCTCAGACCTGTGACATCAGCGTTCTTGTCTGTGAAGCGGCATCTGAGGACTCCGTGAGCTAATGACACCATGTCGCATTTGGGGCTGTACAGACGTGAGCCATTCCTATTCCTGTTCTCTACAGAGCACCATGTAATTCTACCTTTCAGTCTCTGATTTATTTATCATGTGCATTCCTTACACTTTGTCTTCAAACCCTCATTCCTTTCAAACTGAGAATCTATGACCCATTGGCAAATACCGACGACAATTTATGAAAGGCTAAGAATAGGAAATCCATCCTTGCCATGATTACAAAGTTCAAAAACCCTTTAAAACACACACACGCATGTGACTTCACACATCTCGTCTCATGCACCGCATTGTGGTGAACACATGTTGGGAAAGACATGATATATGAACAGGGAACATGATGTATGTGTTACACCCTTTTGAAATAAATACTTTATGTTATCCAAATTATACAATTTCAACTCATAAATTTTGATTAAAAAAAAAGACCTTTGGGTTGTGCTATATGAAAGCACCATGGCCACACTCATGAGCCTGCTCCAAAGTCACAGGAAAGACAGCAGGAGCCCTCATAAAGTTGCAAGTGGCCAAATCCAGTCCACTTTGAGTGGACTCCCAGCAGCGTGACTTGCCCGCACTTCCCAGGCCCATGACTGCCCCGGTGTACACCCACCTCCTCCCCCAGCCAGAGCCTGTTCTGTCCCGGGCTCACGTCTGCTGTCCTCGCCCATGCCTGCCCCAGTGCATTTCCACCGTCCTCCCCCAGCCAGACCCTGTTCTGTCCCGGGCTCACCTTCTTCATCTCCTTGAGGTTGAGTCTCCAGCGCTGGAGCTGTGGCATCATCTGAATTCAGAACGGAAAAGATTTGCAAGGAGACTACAATTATGAGAGTAAGTTCAGTAAGTGTGCATACAGGATGGAAGCTGAGGGCTTGCATACACCCCACACATCAACAAAAACCACCACCCCAGGTGCACAGGTAAGGGGAGCCAGGCAGGGGCTCCCTGAAACTGCACAGCACCCTTGGTGAACTGCCACGTAAAGTGAGTGCAGGCTGGGAACCGGGCCCCTGAGGGAAGTGCTGGGCTAGTCCCTGGGAGCTGGAGCAGCTCAGGACAGGTGAGGAAGACGCAGAAATAACATAAGCCAGGGAACATAGCATGGGAGGGGACTCACGTCGGCAGAGTCAGCGAGTTGGGGTGACCAAAGAGACGGGCTGGGGCGGGCTGGGGGAAGCCAGATATCGTTGCTCTGCCCCCCCCGCCCCACTTTCCCAAGTGCAAGGCAAGGATCAAAGAATCATAACTGACTTGCTGCCCTGCGCACCCCTGCACCATCAGCCCCTGCGTCACCCCTGCAGGAGCTGGAGGAAGGATCCCATGGAGGGACCAGAGTCAACGTCACAGAGCGGGGGACAGGCGTGTGTTAGAGTATCACTCTATATCATTTCTTTGGAGGCATAGATCCCAGTGGATAATCTTTATTTAATTTGTAGAAAAACTGACTGTGGGTTCCCTGGTAGGGCATAAGTTTCTAGAGAGTTCTGAGACATAGCAGGAAGACAAGGAGAATGAGCTGCTAGAAGTCTGCTCTGGATGAGCGGGGCCCCTGCCAGGGGTGCAGTCACAAGGCACTTTGTGGGGCTCCCAAGAGCCAGCCTGGTGCTTTTCACTCAAGCTTGCTCATGTGATTTTGTTATATAATAATTTCAGGATTAAAATACAATAAACAGTGGGAGAGATAAGGACCAGCCATAAGGCTTATCTGTGATTCATGACTTTCCCAGATGTCTGAAGAATAAAAATGAAGTTTCTCATAAATTCTTTTTGGGAGAAAACCAAAAAGCTTTTTTTAAAAAACTTTAACACAGAACAATCTTTTAGGGAAAAATGTTTCCTTTCTATCAGAACACTGAAAAAAAAAGTAATGTTGCCTATTTGAGAAACCCAAGTTTTAACACTGATAGTAACTATAAACCCATTGACCATTTTGTAATCTCCTTCCAGAAACTAAAATTAAATGGGAGACATAGCTACAGTATACTTAACATATTTAGAAGTCCTTTGAGATGACATCAATCAAGCACATTATTAGTGTTGGACATTTTTACTGAGGCCTAGGCAGGTCACCACTGTAGGGCCACCAGCCTGTTCCACAAACACTGAGTCTGAGCCAACCTAAAAAACTCAGCCCAGCTGACTCACGGCGGGCGAGGCTCAGGGCACTGTGGGGAGAATGATGCTGAGGGAGCTGCCACAGGCCTCCCTCACCCCCCAACTCCAGCACCAGGGGCCCTCATGTCTCCTGGCCCTGGCCCTGGCCCTACCGCTGCTGTCAGCGTGACGCCCCTCCACCACCGTCCACGCTCGGGGCCTGTGTGTAGTTCTGTCCCAATGTAACAAACGCACCAGCACCTCCTGAACTCAGCCTCAAGAAAATGAAACAAAACTGTGGAGAGCTGTGTGCTTTCTGTTTTCCCTACTAGAGTTTGCAAAGGCCTCGTTTTTATCCATAAGCCAGATGTGTGGCTGAATTTCAGGCATTTTTCTCTGTTGTGTGCATGTCTGTAGATCAAGAGCCTTCAGCAAAAGGAATGCATTCCTGCCTTAAATTAATTTCTGTGCCCACATACCAATTCCCTAGGGATTTTTTTTTTTTTTTAACTTCTATTGCAGGTTCAGCAATGTGCTGCAAGGCCCTGCATCAGGAAACTGGGTCTGAAGAAGTGTTTCCTTTTGTCAGCTCTGCCCTTGAGCATCTGACTGATGTTTGTAATCATGAATATTGTCCCTTCCTCCTCTTTAGAAAATACTGACATGCCCACTCTGGGACCTTACAGACCCAAATCCAAGCTGTTCATCTAACATTCTTTTCCAAATGTAAACCCTCACTCCAGCCAGCATTCTGACTCTGCCTGCACCTTCTTTCCCCTAGAAATTGGGCTATTTTCCCCAGTTATGAGGTTGCTCTACCCTACATCATACCCGTCCCCATGCCCTCACCCTCCGTGCCCACCCACCGCCTCCCCCTTCACGAGACAGCTCTGCCCACACTCCCACCGCGCCCCCCCACACCGTCCTCACAGGCTGATGCTGTCCCAGGTGCTACCCCCTGTGTTTATCTTCATAACTTAAGGGACTCCACTGTCCTCCGAGGGAGGGACAGTGTTTGCCATAGCCTCAGTGCACGCTTGTGGGATGGACTTGAGTGAAACTCAGGTCTACTTGGCTTTATGTCACTTTCCTTTATTACTGGGTCATATATTATAACCTACATCAGAAAAAATAGAATTGCCTAAAATTTTCATACTAAGAATCTTTTATTTTGTCTTGAAAGCGACTTCTGACTTTAAAGGTTGATATAAGATAAAAGGCAGAAAACACAACCCTGGGTCCACAGGGCAATGACTGTGGGAAGGGCAAAGAGAAAAGTTGGGGCTCGTGGAGGTCATGGTGGGTGCACCATAGCCTGCGTGAGATGGACCAGGTGCTGTGGAGTGGTTCCGGAAACAAACGGCTAGCTGCTCTACCTGGTTCTTGTTGGCCCCAGTCCCAGAGCACGTGACTGTCACAGGTGGGAAAGCGTGCCCTCTTTCTCACGAGGAAGCTTTGAGATGTCTTTCTCAGCGGCCCACAGTGACTGCCACGCTCCACAATTACATGTAGAACCTAACATCACACTGGAGCCCTCCCCCCGGGTACAGACTCCAGGAGGCACCTGCCAGCAACAGGGGGTCCCGGCACAAGCCACGCCTGAGAGGCCCTTATGTGGGGCGCGGGGGTTACCTGCCCAGCACCTGCAGATCCCTGGCCATCCAAAGGGACAAATACATGTGTGTTGAATGAATAAGTAATTAACTGTGTCAGCTCTCCCTATCACGTAGTCCACATTTAAATTTTAACTTAAGGCATTGACTGAATTAGCTGTTATATATTATCATCATAGAAATTCATTTTAAGATAGTTACCTGTTTTTCCTGTGCCTTCCCGTTGGGGTACCTTTTCATTTATGGAACCTAAAAGGGGAAAATAAGGAATAGATTATTTCTGGCTCTCAAAGGGTCATCAACAGTTGTTACGCAAATATTGGGTTCCACTTTGATTAGTTCACAGTGCTTGTCACTTCCTAGTTAAATTACACGAGCCATCTAGTGACAATGTCACCTGCAGTCACAGGCCCTCGACTAGCAAACCAAAGATTAGTGCCTACTTCTGCTGCTAACTAGTTGGCCATGTACATGAGGACACACACTCTAATATGCAATATAACATAGTTTCTTCACTTGAAAATTGTCCTAATCCCCTTAACATACATTGCCATATTGAGGCAGCAGAATGAATTAGATTTAAAGAGGGAAACATTTTTAAAATAATAAAAAGTTATGCGACCAAAGATAAATAAAACCCTGGTTTCAGCTGGATTTCGTCCTATGGGAAAGAAAACGGAGGAACTGCCTTTTTGTGGAAGAATGCAGGAAAAACATGAAGGATGTCGAAGTAATTCAAGACAGCACGTCTAACATTTATGTTAAACTGAGAGGTCTGCCTTACAAATGTGAGGCGTGAGCTCTCTCTCCCCCATTAGCTCAAAACTGCAACAAGCACTGTTTCCCTCGCCATTATTACACCTGCTCGAAGGAATAAAAAAAAGAAAATTCTGTTCAGAATGAATTTGGAGTTTACCTGCTGATTGTGTTCAGAATCGTCCATGCAGGATTCACTTAGAATTACCACAGTCTCATGCTGGGGTGCACTCCTTAGCAAAAACATCTCATGACACAGAACGTGAAACCCATTAACTTGTTTTATAATTTTGAATGTGACATTGAAATACAAACCAACATTTATGCCAAAGATATAAACTGCATGACATTTAAGAATGTTTATCCTCTCTTTCTTGGAATTGAACAGTAATATAATAGGAAATGCAGCAGTAGTTCATCATAGGAAAGGATCTCACAGGACAAAGAAGTTAACACAACCTTGCACAGACCATTCATTCTCTCGAAATACTGGCGGAAATCACATGAAGGTGACAGGTTCTCACATCTTTTCCCAAGATTAAGTCAGCAGGTTTACCTCAAGGAACAAAACGCACACAAAATAAACCGTTCTCCAGCAGTGGGTCCACCATGGACCTCCCACCCAGCTCGGGAGAAAAGGCCCCTGCTCCTCCTGCTGTCAGTCTAAGAATCAACTGAGCGACGCGCATTTGGAAGTTTCAGTCCTCCAGTGGACGGAAAGGACGTGGTGTGCCCACTTCCCAGCTGCTCCTTCTGCCCCCGCGGGAACGACCCATGGCCTCTGGGCTTCAAAACACAGAATTCTACCTCGGCTAAGAACCCCCTCACATAGAAATAGGGCCCCAGTGTGTGGCCTTCTCTTAAAGCTTTTGGGGCCCTACTTTGCTGGCTTTTCCCTTCGAGCCTCTCTCCACAAATCCAGATTTCTTAAACAGCTTAACTGTCCTTAGTCATCAGCTTACTGTTATCATGTGTTTCTGCAATGAGTCAAAAAATGTTTTCCACTTTGGAGTGGAAATGATAATATTTCGGTCATATTTCTGAATCTGACTATTCAGATTTTAATAGGCTGAGATAAACATAAATATCCTACATAGTCATTCGATGCCCCACACGAGAGAGCCTCTCCACTAAATTAAAGCAGTATTTTGTAATCAAAGGGTTGAGGACCACAAGCTGTGGATCCGCAGGCTGAGCGGCCAAGGCCCCGGGGCATTCGGATAGTGTCTCCCTGCACACCCTCGGGCACGCTTTCTCCCAGAACCACCACCACTGAGCTTGCGCACCAGCCCCCGAAATTCACTTGGTATTTACTCAAACCAGTCCACACAAAAATAATTCCATCTTGTTCTTAATAGTACGAAGTGATTTTAAAGCAGAGTCAAGTGTCCTTGGTAACCTGCTCCACGATTCAAGTATTTTGCAACACAATTTAAAGAAGATCCAGAGGTGCTGCTTATTTCATCTTCCTCTGGACAAAAAGCCTCCCTCAAAGCTCACCTCCTTCCCTGTAATGTCCTGTCCCCAGGAATGTAGAAGAAAGCTGAACATCACTCTCCACACAGCAAAACTGCTATGCCAACTAGAATCCATGAACCCAAAACCAGAAAGCAGCTCTTACTCTTTCCTTACAGTTGTCTGAAGGATTTGCTGAAGAATTCCCAAGAATTTGGGACAGGTGAGATTCTAGGGTGTAGGTGGGGAAAAGGGCTTCAAAAGGGGGGACCTGGGAGACGGTGAACAGCTTTGTAAGCCACGGGCTGGTCGGCTGCACCTTCGAGACCTGATCACTGCTCAGGGACATAAACACCGCTCCTCAGCTTCATCTCTCAAAGGACACAGTTGAATTCCCTCCATTGGTGAGATCTCATCCCATTTAAATGCTATTTTAAGAGGTGGCTTTTTTAGCAATTAGGGTATGCGTTACCGGTGAAGGAAACCACCAAAACACAATGTGGGGGGATCAACACCTGCGGTTCACAGGGAAATCATGTGAGCTGTGGTTCCGAGCACCTGGTTCAAATCCAGCTACACTCAGGCATCCCAATTTGTGGCCGGAACAGCCCCGCTGGAGGGTGCCACGTCTTGCTGAGCGTTGGTGGTCTCAGCGAGCTCCTTCCCCAGCTTTAGAACCAACGAAGGTGTGTGTGGCCCGGGCAGGAGGGAGGAGGTTAATGACGTCACCCGCTGCAGGCGAGCACAGGTCCAACATGCAGAATGGACGGCTCCTTCAGGGCCCAGTTAAACCAGCCACAGTGATTCAGCCCTTTCTGGAAATTGCACATTCAAATGCAGATTTACAACACCGCATGGCTTTGCTTCAGAAAAAAAAGAGACACAGAATGGGGGGAAAATAGAGGAAAGGAATGGAAGGAACAGTGGCTCTGTTCCTCCTGCATTTTCTGGACACGCATCTCTTTGCTGTAACTCTGAGGAACCCAGCTGGTGCTGTGCTCTCTGAAAGCAGCCTCACCGCCCCCTCCAGGCCTTCCCTCCCGCCGTGGGACAAGCCAGCGGGCTTTTCTCAGGCCCTGGCTGGTTGTGTGTGCCCCTCATTCCCTGGTCGGAGCAGCCTGCTGTGCCATGAATATGATCCCGCAAACACCACAAGGCCTAGCGGTGCAGGGAGAAGGCAGAACCTGCGCCACAGAACAAATTCACTACATGCCCGCTCTGTGACCCTGGTCAGGCGGCTTCACTGGCCCCACCCTCCATTCCCTCATCTGCAAAATGGGCAGTGTCAGGAGTATCTGCTCACTGGTTGAAGGAAAATGGCAGAGAAACCAACAGGTTAAGAGGCACACAATGAACGTTCACCTAAAACACCTCAGGCGCTCCGTCACCCATCTGTGGTATATTCCACCTGTGGCCTCTGTCTTCACATAGGAGTGTTTTATAGGCAGAGGCGGTGACAGGGTCTGCTCATGACAGACACCAATGCTGTGTCCACTCAGAGTAAGCGGTCAGGCAGGGCACCAATGAGCCCGGGGGATGACACCCTCTCTCCGTGACCACGTTCATCCATTCATTCAACACATGCTCATTGTGTGTGGCCAACAAACAATGCAAGAGATAAAGCACTAAAAAGTTTCATCTACTTTGGGGAGATAAGTGTGAAATGGAAATTACTGAAATAACGTACACTACCGTCATGCACACAGCTAATCTATACAGTTCTTACTGTGTGTTGGTCATTGTTCTAAGTACTTCACATCCATTAAGTCATTTACTGCTGACAACAACCCTATAAAGTAGGTACCATCATTATCCCCATTATAAAGATGAGGAGACTGAGATCTGGGCAGGTGACTAACTGGCCCCAGGTCACCTAGCCAGCAAGTGGCAGAGCCGGGCTCTATGTCTGCACCATTAGCCCTTGGGGGAGCTGAGCAGACAGGCAGGACCCTGAAGAAGATGGAGGGGTGAACAGGCCCTTGGGAGGGGATAGCAGCGTGAGTCAAGAGCATGGCCAGCAGTGCGGTGGGGCATGGCATGTCCAAGAGAATACTCCACAAGTGTGCTCTGCAAGCTACTTGTCCCCCTTATTCTGTGCACATCCTCTGTTTACGAGGACATAGCTCCCCACATGGGGACTTTCCTATCATCTTGGCCCCTGCAGAATCTAGCGTGGTGCCCATGTATGGAAGACCCTGATTCAGAGTCAGGATGCCTGAGCGTGACCTGTGAAGGCTGACCCAACCTCTGCCAGCTCCAGTGGTCCCTCTGATCTCAGGTCTGCTGACCCTCCTAGCAGCAAACGGGCCCAGTGGTGGAGAGCGAGGGCAGAAAGACTGAGCGTGAGATGCAGTGGGTGTCAGGCCCAGGATGGAAACCAATGATGACGTCAGAGCACTTGGAAACCTGCCAGCCCCAGGTTGCTCTTTGGTCAAAGGCCCGCCCTACAGAGGGTTCCAGGCGTAGTCATGGTTGAGCCAAGGTACACAATGGGAGCTGCCTGTACCCAGGTTTTAATAAATCAGTAGGGCACAACTCCTGCCTGGTTACCTCCCAGGTGTCTTGGGACACCCAAACCCATCAACACTGGTGTCAAAGCTGAGAAACGGGAAAGTCCAGAGCACATCATGACCTCCCATAGATCAGTCCATGACTGTGCAAACACTGTCAGGCCCAACAACTGTGTGCTGCCCCAGCCCTCCCACGCTGGACCCAACACTGTGATGCCGTGTGTCCTCTATTCTTGCTCCACAAGACTCATGCTAATGTCCAGCAGGCCCTACGGTCTTCCTTAGGGCAACACAGCAGCTTGCCCTCATGGTCGTGGCTCATCTGATTCAAAACCAGTTGGACTGCGATACTTACTAGGTATTAGTAGATGGTGCAGAAGCTACTTTAGCGAATCCCAAATCTCTCCTGTATGGAATGCTAGATATTACATACCTTTTATATAGAGACTCTAACAGTGGGAAGTAACACCTCACACTAGCGAAGCAATGGTTTTCTATGTGCTGTGTGACCTTAACGACCATAGATTT